GGTAGCAAACAAAATGGCCGCCATGCACATGATTTTAACTAGTAGCTTCGCTTCTCAACCGAAATGAGGAAGTTTAACCTCATTTGCAGACTTTAGCGCCATGGAGTTGATTTGGGGAAGTGCTGAGACGCGATTTCGCTACGGCATATGGGATTTTGCCGCGGAGGGAGTTACGTACGCCGGCAAAAACTTGCTTCAGCGATCGGCTCCAGAAAATTTATCTTTATGCTGCCGCTCAAGTCTTCGAAGGTGGTTTAACGAAGTTTATATAAATAATAAAGCCACTTTGCGTAGATCGATCTCCGTTTTCTTGCGATGGTATGAAAATTCAAGTACAGTATATTTTCAAAACGTTTGATATTTCTTTGTTCGTTGCCGGCATGCCACATGTTGTTTATTTATCTTATTGTCATGTACAGTTACCAGCGTGAGTCTGAGTCGAGCCATTGTTCTTATGTGGCCGTTAGCACATGTTGTTTAAACAGACAGCAACATTAAAGAAAAGAACCGAGTTAACAGACATCGGCACGTTCCTTGAAGTCAGGTTTCCCGCCGTATTTAAATAAGAAATGTGTGGGCCCGCGGCGTTTTGAAAAGACGCGACGCGCTTTGGAAAGACCCCGCGCCGTGGCTCATTCAAATTCGCTACATTTTTTGCTAAGTTTAATATCTTCACCCACGATTTTTGACCGTCAATGTTGACGGTAAGGACTTAAATTTTTACCGTCCGACGGGAAAAAATACCGTCAATTGACGGTAAAACGGGCGCTGGCTAAAGCCCTGGTTGAATGTCACGAGGTTTGTAAACTTAGATGTTGGGGACAAAGCCATAGAAGAGAATTTGAACAAATTATATATATATATATATTAACGTTACTTATAATTTAAGTTAAAATGTACTTTTGTGTCTCATTTTTTTATTCTGTTAAAAAGACTCTTAAAAGAGAGAAAACAGGTTATAAACTGTTATATACTTGATTTTTGTAATGTTTTAAACTTAAAGAGTTGAAATATAGAAGTGCATGTTCTCTCATTATATACAATGTTGATGAGAACTAGAACCATTTATATAACTTAGGTAAATTAAAATGCTAGGATGGGGAAAATGTTCGTAAAAACTGTAAGCCTGTAAGCGGCGAAAATGGTCAGCTTTTGCAGAAGCACTTGTTTGATGACTAACACTACCCAGAGAGGTATAGGGGATACATGTACCTCCTTGGACAAACATGATTGGCAAAGGTACAAAATTGTTGATAAGTTGCCATAGTTTTTTTTTTTTTTTTTGCTGTGACAGATTTAAACAACGAAGTCCAAAAAATGAACAAATTTTATCAAATTGACCGAATGACGGAGGGAGTAGCCAGGGAGCGAGGACTTCCCGCCGCCCCTTTGTAAAAGTCACGTTTGGTACAGTCCAGATTGCTGCAGCTGCGTTCAGCTCTGCAGGAGAATTTTTCGGAACTTTCTTGGGCGAAATTATTTTGTTTCTGTTGCTTAAAATGTATCTAAAATGTATGTATACATGTAGTAAATGTTCAGGATGCTTCTGTGGTAGATTTGAGGCGTTCTTTAAGGTATTAGAGGGAGAAAATGCGTATTTCCTGACGTAGCGAATTTCGGAGAAGACGAGGGAGACATTCAAAATGGCGAGGCGGCGTGGTCTGGAGAAAGGCTTGGGGACACCGTTCGGAGGAAATGCGTTTAAAGGTAAAACAACAAACCATCCTCCCGAGATTTATCTCCAACTATCTCATAACAGAAATTTACGTTATGTTCAGTGTTAATTGGTGTACGTGCGAGACTGTACTGTAGTGTTGGGGGTCGTTTTGTACTTTCTGAACTGTCGTGACGTGCCGGTAATATTTTATCCTCAGTGTATCGTCCTTGACAACGTATTTTTCCTTGTGGTGACATAATGAGAAAAACCTAAAGACAATATTGGCGTGCCAGTGTTAAAGTGTAATACTAATCGACCAGCTTTTATTATTATCATTTTTTTAACTTTCCTCGTCGTATTCTCAGGCGAGGTTCATATAGAACACCTCCGTGTAGTTACGAAATCCACCGCACGTGCACGTGGACATTTTAAATGCTTTTAATTTTCCCGCCAAAAAACTCGCGTATTTTACAAGAAGGCAATACCCCGAAGTAGCTGAATTCAAAATACAGCTAGCTTCAGTTGGCAGAGATTGGGCTTTTCTAGACATTTTTGAAATGGAGGATTAATATTTGACTGGGTTGGTTTGTTTTTGTACCACGATAGTTAAATGTTGTTTATGCTAACTACGGGTCTTTCTATGTTGCATGTCAACCTTGCATTATTTTCTATAATCAGGCTGTTTTCATATCAAATCTTCTACCTTTTAATATGCAGTGCTCTCAGCCATGTGTACAAACAATGTCCATTTCTTTATTGTACCTGTATTAGCAACTTTGGTGTTATTTGAGCTAAATGTATTACTTGTGATGTTGTTTAGTTAGTTGGCTGCTGACTGATGATGCAATAGTGATGACCTCTGTCTAAGCCTGTATTGGACCAGATCATGTGATTTGAAGACCCCTGACAAATATTGTGAGGAAAATCTGCACTTTACCAAGCATATACATTTTACTCGGTATTGTAGTTTGAGACAAGTGTATACCTTTTCATGTCTGTATAGTTTGGTGGCTGCTGAATGATGCAGTAGTGAGGACTCCTGTCAGAACCTGATCATGACAAGACTGGATTGGACCAGACCAAATCAGATTTGAAGACCCAAGAGGAATATCAGGTGAGAAAAACCTTGAATTGTACATTTCACCTGTCACCTAAT